TGAGGACGGTATGATAGTAAGTAATGATATTGTATCTATGCATTCATGGAGTCATTCAGACACTAGTTCACATCGTAGTGAAGGATATAATGATTACTGAAGAGTTAAAAGTGAGTATAAACACCAATTTAAGACTTCTAAACTTATCCATGAGTATTACTTATTTTAGTGTTGATTTGACCTCGTTTTCGCAACTTGGTCAGAACGTCAGGGAAACATTTTGGAACGTACCTAATCCCATGTCCCCTACCATAGAATTCGTGATTTCCAGTATCGGACCAATGGCTTGGTAGATACCCAAACGTTTAATCGGCATCGTTAACTAGAGGCGCCACCATCAGCACAGAGTTACATATCAAAGTGATAGGTGAAGGCAATCCTCTTAACCAATTTTCTGATCAACCGTCATGGCATCACTCTTCGTCCCTATTTTTTGCTCTATATTCTAGTGCTGCATATCTTTCTCTCAATCCCACTTTATATGGCCTCTTTACATATTCACGCCATTCCGTGTTCTCGTTTCCTCCAATAGCGCCTAAAAGTGTGCCACCACAAGTAGGTTTAGTGAAGCGTAATCATCTTCACTACCGGTACCAGGTTCCGTTTTCAGGGCTCTCGATCTTAATTCAGCCACCCTTTTCCTACCCCGCTTGCCAATTGGTCACTGCTAAACATCACAATCACTGCCTGGTTGTCTGAAATCTGGCTGCCTAAGAGTCTTCAATTCCCGTCTTTGATTACTCTATATTCGAGAATTTATAGCATATGGTGCCCGTGTCTACGCAAAAGCCTGAGAATCTTCCTCTCCCTAGGCTCCAAATCCGTGACTCAGTTATCATCTTTATCATCTCGTCCTCCAAGTTGATACTACTATCTACGCCTAAGGAACTACGATGCTCACATATCTGTTAGCTGGTATCCCCCGTGATCAAGCATGTTACCAGTCACTTCTCATTAAGGCACATACACGAAAGTAAACACACTGGTGACCTATATCTGGCCTACCTGTACCCTTGATCTTTAATTTCCTATCCCACATCACAGAAGTAGACCCTCACGGGTGAATTTTTGGCCAATTCCAGATTTGACTCCTCTCCTTACAATCGCATTTTCTTGACTTTCCTTTCTCCCTCATGAACCGTTCCTTGGTAATGTCTCTTCCTGTTGTTGAACAATTGTCCTGGGCCCAAGCGTCTTCTTTTGAGGTCTTCGCTGAATCTCCACATCTGCTAAGGTAGTACGCGAAATTATCATTGGCTTTACACTTTTCCAATCTTCTGTTCATCAGGTTTCTTTGAAAGAGGATGTCCCCAGATTTCCTGATCTTCCATTCCCTTATATTCTCCACACATGAGGCCAGACTTTCCATTGCACTCCAATCAATTGTGTGGCTGGTAAGGACGAGGCATTCAGATAGCTTCGATACGATAGTCCTTATTTTACTTTTAGCAGTAAGTTTTATGAACAGACATAAGCACTTGAGGTTGGATCTTGCTTAGCTCCAATTTTGGTGAATAACTAAATGGCTAAACTTAAACGCTAAATGAAAGAGGTAAGGCTAACCCATAAATTATTGTGACTCGACCTTCCACTTTGAAGGATAAGTGAGATGGAAGGAATTCATTAGGTAGTCACACTGGAAACCGATAGATTGCAGCTGAATGAACCGTTGGACGGTGCGAAGAAGTCTCTGACTCACCGTCCTGTGACTCCAATAAAGCCATGCTAAATTTTCATCTGCTATACGGCAGAGATAGTCAAAGCAATAGTTCATACTTTACAAAAAAGCGCAGCAATACACTGGACCAAAATAAAAAGTGACCGACTGCAAACCTAATCACTTCTTGCACTCAGTCTTGTGAGCTTAGTCAGGCAGACCATGATTTAGTTGGCTAAATCATGATTACTCTACGTGCTTGTAGATGAATGAAGTTAATTCATGAACAAGAACTGGATGAGATGGCAACTGTTTTTTCATATAAATAAAATAGCATACGTTCCCCTAATGTTGCCTCATGTTTATGTGTGCTATTATCTTTTGTGTGTATGCAATGTTCTTGCCATGAGGTGTGAAATCCCTAACCAGACTCAAGAATATCCGAGCCTCCTTTCTCAGTAGTTCTTACTGCCCTCCTCTCCCCGTTAGCCTACCCAACAGTCATAAATAGGTTTTACTCAATTTTCTACATTCGCTCCTCCTATTCAGGGCGTTGGCTGTTTTGTTAATTTCTATAGACTCCCTAATCCTAAGCTTTGATGTGAAGTCTCCGAAACCAGCTAAACGTTGTGCTTCGGACCAGTGTCTCAAGTGTCGTGTATTTGACATGTGTTCCGCGAGCTCAGATTTTTTTGCTAGAATGGCGTACGAGATTAACCCATCATGGCCATATCTTTACTTGAGTCGATAAGCCTTAATTACTATATGCCGACGGTTTATGAAAAGTGGCTTCTTAAATCGACTTACGCAAACAAGTAGCATCTTATCATCTGAATAAGAGCTATTTAAGGGATTACGCAATTTCGCTTATCCTTTTTCTTCGATCAGTAAGACTTGATGACCCGTGCCTAACTTTAGGCTGGCGTAATTACACTGAATTAAGACAGACATTGTGTACAGACATTAAGACATACGCAAACGCACGCACAAACACGCTAAAGCAAAGTAGGGGAGAACTAACCCAATCATTCCCCCCCGCTCTCTCTCTCTCTATATATATATGCGTGTGTAAATTTTCGTTGAAAAACTCAATAGTAATTTAACGCACTCAAGGAAGTTAATTTAAACTGGCAAACAGTAATCCCCATTGAGCGAGCACTGTTGGAGTCCATATTAATGATTTCGATTGAACTTAGAGAGGAAAATCACATTTCCGAAAGAAATGAATGTTAGAAAATGCATTGAGTTAAAATAAAGATAAATCCTAGTAATATGTGCTCAGGCTACACTAAAATAGACTCTTACCTGTTCCAAGTGGTGAGGTTGGAACACGGCGCTTGGGAGTACGAGCCAGAAGAAATGCACCTCTTGTATTTTGTAGTGGTTGAGAGAAGTTCTCACTGCACCCTTCAGCTACCAGACCACTAGTTCCATCAGCCGAAGCACTACTTTGTGCAAAGCCCCCTCCCATCCCAGGGTTACAGACACCCAGGCTTCCCCCACCACCACAGAGTCCCAGGACATAGGTAGCAGCTCCAGGCCCTGGCTGAACCATCAATCGATGACGTCGTCCTCCACCAGGTAGTCCAGTGAAATCGGTAGCATGCGAAGGCCGCTTTCGGAGACGAAGAGTGATACGGCGCGACTGCATCAGCATCAGTTCCACGACACGGTGATGCTGCCAGCCAAACTAAAGAGAATGCCAGATAGTAAGTGGTCACAGATGAGAGTAAGTTACTAGGATTAATATACATTCACTCTTTCCATGATGAAACTATTCGTATTCCACTTGGAGTAAATAACAAGGAATAATAGGTTTCTTAGAGGATCAAAATATAATGTTTAATTTAATACTCAGGACATTCAATTTTATTCAGATTATACAAAATATGAATAAAATTTGCTATTAAATATAAACTACGCACAGTCGTTTATCTATACATAAATATTGCAGCATGAACTGCGATGCGAATACAAACCAACTCAAATTTTACCGAAAATTAGGTTTGTCTATTAAGAAGACCAATAAATCACAGACAAAAAATAATTAAGGGGACCAAGGGATAATGTAAAAGAAATTATGCAATTAATCAGTTAGCCCTGGACCTTGAGAACCAAATATCTTTCAAGAACACAAATGAGCCCAAGAAGCAGGTTACTTATGACGCATATAGACAGAAGATAATAGGGGAAAAAACCTTTTACATTTATATAAGGATCGCTAAAAGATAAATTTCAATAAGAAATGAAATTGAGCTATCAAAATTAGCAATGAGCAGAAAGCATAAGAGTATTAAGAAAAAAGTGAGCAAATGATAATCAGGCATAGTAAAAGGACTAAGCGTTAAGCCAGATTAAACGGAAATGATTTATAGCATCGAGATGTCAATTTGTATCTAGAATCCAAGCAAATCTTCAAAATAGACAAGTCTAATAAAATGCACTGATTAGTAGTAAATTTCTGAACCATTAGAAACAATAAATTAGGTAGTTATGAAATGAATAAAACAACTGCTCACCACAACTTGGTCATTAACCTCAAGAACTTCATCGCCTCGATTTATCTTTCCTGTACAAAACGCTGGAGACTAAAATACATAAGCAAAACCGTCCGTCAATTTTTATAAAGACTTAGGATTTATATAAATTTAGTTAAAAATTTACATCATTCTGAACAGATACGATCACATGGTGGTAATTGAATGTAGACCTAAAATTAAAACC